TGTGTATTATGTGATCCGGCGCATTGGGACAGGCCGTTTTAGATTTGGCGGCAGCGGGCACTTCTTTTCATGGCGACACTCTGGCTTGTCCTGGGCGTTATTGCTGGCCTCTTCCTGTACGTACGGGCGAACGATGCGAAGCTCAAACGCACCCCGCCTGAGGCCATGTCTTTCTCGCCTCAACGATGGACGGAAGACGCGGTGCGACGCACGGCTGACCGTTTGGCGGATTCACCCAGGTCGCTACTGACAGTCGATCAACTGCCGAAGCAAACAGGCCGACGATACATTATCACTGGAGGAGTGAGTTTGGAAGTGGTCGCGCAGAACTCAGACACTAAGATATAAATATTAGGCTGGTTTCTTGGGCGGATGGATGGTCTTGCATCTGCTCGCCCGCGGAGAGGACCCACGCCGCATACGAGTAATCGACATCCGAATGCCAGCCCGTAAAGACCTCACCGAGGGCGCAGCGAAAGATGTGGACTACATTCTCGTCGACGTGACTGACGCGAAGGCGGTCGACGCTGCATTCAGCAAGCCCTGGCCTTCAGCGCAATCCGACGTCCCTGGGGCCCCGGAGCCTGAAGTGACTGTCTTCCATACCGCCGCCACCATCCGCTTTTTCGAGCGCCATCCAGACCTCCTTCGGCACTCCAATGAGGTCAATGTGCGAGGGACCGAGAATGTAGTGAACGCAGCTCGGCGCGTTGGTGTATCCACACTCGTGTCTACGTCGTCTGGTTCCATCTGCGTGTGGAACAATCGCTTCTGGCTTTGGCCATGGGAGAAAGAGCCAAAATATTTTGTCCAGCCCGTCAACGATGACTCTTCTATCCCAAAACGACACGAAGACTATTTTTCCAACTATGCAGCTTCGAAACATACCGCGGAAAAATTCGTGCGAGCTGCTGACAAGACACCCTCTGGCCAGCGCGTGCTTCGGACAGGCTGCATTCGACCTGGCAATGGCATCTATGGCCCCGGTGGAGATTTAATGGTGGGCAATTACCTGACGAGGAAGACCAATCCTTCGTGGATTCAAACCATGATTCAGTCCCTCATTTACGCGGAGAACTGCTCCCTCGCGCACCTTTGCTATGAGGCGCGCCTCATCGAGCTCCAACAAGGCAGCAAGAACCCGGACATTGGCGGGCAGGCATTTTGCGTCGCGGACGCGGGTCCGCCGCCTCTGTACGGGGAGGTGTACGACGCCGTTACCCAAGTCAGCAAAGGCCAGACGGAATTTATGTACCTTTCCTTCACTGCGATGCTCGCGTTGGCCCAGCTCGTTGAGTGGTACTATCTCGCGCGTTATTTCTTGCTGCAGTCGCGCTTCGCCTTCCTTGGACGTATCATGCCGCCCGTCACTGGTGATATTGTCTTTCTGCAACCGTCCATGTGGGCGCTGACCGGCATACACCTCTGGTTCAATGACTCGCGGGCGCGGTTAGCCCCAGAGAAAGGCGGACTAGGCTACAACGGCGACATTACGACGATGGAAGGAGTTTGCAAATCTGTTATTGAACATCAGAGGGATGGCGGGAAGTCCCTGCAGCGTGTCATCGCAGGGCACAAGGAAGTCGGGCATGGGTTCGCCCCGAATAGAGCAGAAAATGGCCCCGCAAGGATCATTGCTGCGGTAGAGAACGGCCCTGCGAAGATCATCGAGAAGGTGGAGAGCGGTATCGCCATACACGCTGCGAATGGGCACAACTAAGATTCGTAGAGAAGTAGATTATTCTTGTACCGCGAACCGTCTTTTGGTGACTAGGACTAATCAGATCTTGGGATTTTGGTATCATTACCACTTATATAATACAAATGCGACGCGCTCGTTGTCTGACCAGTGACATCGTCCCGAGTTGTGTCAAAAATCGAGGACAAACTAGCCCACAACGTGCGGTCAATCAAAGTCACTGTCGACTGCTTGATCAAGAGTTTGACCCCATAGCACTGTTAATTTTTAAGGGCACGGATACCATACAGTTCGAGCTTCATACAAGATATTGATCCATTCGTCTAATTATTCAAGCATGTAAACCTGTTGTGCGTAAGATGACCAGGGCACAAGATCCAATAGACTGTAGGCTGGATTCACACTACATGATTCCCTGTCTTCCATCGATGCCGGACACTAGTTCATTGCTCACTACGAAGGACTACTTCTGCTCCGGGAGGTGGTGTTTCTACCTGTCTCAGCTCTACCTCACTCACCATAGAGCCTTCAGGGTGTGGCGGATGAAAGTTCTTCAGCTGGAAATCCAGCTGCTCCTTAAGGACGGACTGGCTCGACGCGGCGGCCACAAATCCCAAAAACGGAGGGGAGGGATTTAGCGGCCGCGTGCAGAACTCCGGATGTGCCTGGAATCCGACAAAATATGGGTGATCTGATCACGGCATCAACTCAGGCATCAGTCAACGCCCCAAGGCAGGGCTGAATAACTAGTGACTCACCAGGCAACTCCAGGACCTGCATCCGTTCCCCCTTCTCGTCTTTCCCGATGAACGTCATCCCGCTTGCCGCAAACCTCTCGATATAGGCAGGGTTAACCTCGTAGCGATGTCGGTGCCGTTCCCAGATTTTGCCCGCACCCGCGTATAATTTCCGTACTTTCGACCATTTCTCGGTTTCTGGCTCGAACACGGTGGGGCGCAGGCCCAGACGCATGGTACCGCCCATGTGCGTTTTGGAAATTTCGGGCATGAAAATGATGACGGGGTGCTCGGTATCAGGATTGAACTCAGTCGAAGTAGCACCTGCGCACATTGAACTTCAAGATATAGGAAGATTCTCCTCACAAACGTACCAGTGAAGCCACACACGTTCCGCGCCCACTCAGCAACAGCGAGCTGGAAGCCGAAGCAGATCCCCAAGAACGGAATTTTTTGCTCTCGGGCCCATTTGATGGCCAACATCATTCCCTCCGTGCCGCGCGGCCCAAACCCACCGGGCACTAAAATGCCACTAATACGATGCGTTTATCAGGAGGCGCTACAGATGACATGACAGCCTATTTTGCTTACCCAGCTGAAACGATGGCTCGCCATGCATCATGGTATTTTGCTGGATTTGAGACTTGCATTTCGGGCTCCAGATCTGACGAGTCCACCCACTGCAAACAGCACGGTGAAATATGAGATTCAAGGATTCTGCCACCGATGGAACCGTGCTTACCTTCGAGATAAGTCGCCGATTACAGCGGAAAGCAGAGTGCTCGAGGGATTTTGTGACAGACATATACGAGTCCTGGAGATCGGTGTATTTGCCAACGAGGACGATCGAGACATCGTCAAAAACGCGTTCTTGTCTGCACGGCACAATCAACGACTTGCCTAAACCGACGTGGAGACTATATCGTCGCTCACCGTTTTGTAAGCTCTCTCCATCTACTTTCTAAGCTTACACCTCTGTCTATCATTTGCTGCGATAGCTTGATGCCCGAAAGATTCAAGCGTTTGTGGAGATACTCCACGATCCCTTGCGATTGCAGGAGCAGTGGGACGTGATAAACAGAGGAAACGTCGTGCACGCCGATGACCTGCTCTGGCGCAACATGACAGAACATCGAAATCTTGGCCTTTGTCGAGGGGTCAAGAGGTTTTTGTACGATCAGACGGCACGCGATCTGCAAGTACATATCTATATGAATGATGGCACAGTTAAACTGGATCTTGGAGGGAAAACCGACCAGATCGGGAAGGAGACCAAGACCTCGCAAGGCGTGGACCGTGGTCTGTGTGGGTTTTGTTTTTTGTTCGCCGTGCATGTCGGGAACGAGGGACACATGGATGAGAGCGAAATTATCGTATCCAACACGGAATTGGAATTGCCGCATTGCCTCTACGAATGGTGCCGATTCAATATCGCCCACGGTGCCTCCCAGCTGGTGTGAGATCGCACATAAGACCTGTGTACTGGCCAATATTCCGTGCAGTCGATCACATACCTCTACAATGCAGACATCCGGCTCTTCGCCAGTGTCATCGACTGGGATTTTCGAGACACGTTCTATCCAGTCTTGAATGGCATTTGTGACGTGGGGGACGATCTGATCATGGCAACTTTAGTCGCGTCAGGTACATTGCGCTCCACATTTCCACACCATCGGCCTGCTCGTTCCCCAATTCGAGACAAGTCAATAGAACATACCTGGACAGTCTTTCCGAGATAATCTCCTCGGCGCTATATCGAAGTGCTCGCTCAACAGAAATTCTCAAATAACGCTTCAATATGCGCACAAACCTCTTTCTCAATGACCTCTCGATAGATTTTACCCGTTGTGATGTTGTTGTCTCGCGATAGAGTCACGTCGAGATATCGCTCGTAATTTCCAAGATCTAGATCGACTTCACCGCCGTCGTTGAGGACGTACACCTCGCCTGTCTTATGTACTCAGAACAGCCGATGCCTGTCTTATTCGCTATCTCACCATGCTCCTGGGGCCGCATGGTTCCTGCATCTATGTTCATGTATGGGTCTATCTTGATCGCTGTTACTTTCAGGCCGGTCGTCTTGAGGAGCAAGCCCGTCGAGGAGGCTACATGGAGCGGCGCGCGCCGGTGAACATGGTGTGTCGAATAAAGGCGACTCGCGGCGGCGTACCAATCACCCCCTTGCCTATCCCGCTCACGACGCCCCCAGAGACGACGATGTACTTGGTCATTACTATCGTAGGTCGTAGGATCGTCACGGTGCAGAAGCAAGAAAAAAAAGGCAAAGTGAATAAATTTGCGCTGCGCGTGATTCTGGAGGACGCGTGGTGACAGGGCGTGACTTCGCACGTGGTCGCGTCGGTCACACTGTCACGACTTTTTCACCTGGGGCGATCGCGACTCGCCTGAAGCGGTGGCAAGGTCTCCTTGTTCCTGACTCTTACTACGATGGCAGCATATTTTCGCCGCTGCTTGAGCGAACTCCAGAAATAATTCGCTCATGCTGAATTTTGAGATTACCTAGCCGCTTTGAGGTCTTACTTTGCCCCCAGCGATGCCAGAACTACACAGTGGCGGTCTCAACGTTTATCACGACCGGCGCTTCGGGGGTCGGAACGGGCGGGCGTGTCCATCGATTCCTAGGCCATTGCTCTGTACCACGACCATCCAAACTCGACATTTGAGTCTGCCACTGAATTATATAGCCGACCGAAATGGCGTCCACGATGAAAGCAGTATACTATCACGCGGTAAGCAGGTTCCGAGTAGTGGCGGCTGAGAACTTGGCTAGTGACTGATTGGTGATTGCGCGGCGCAGCCTCGCGACTTTGAGATTCGTCAAGTTCCAGTACCTCAAGTTGGGGACGACGAGGTTTTGTTTAAAGGTACGTAGTCGCTCATTGGAGACGATGCACTCGCATCCTGATCAGCCGGCGGTTGCATTTATGATTGCCAGTCTCGTGCTGCGGCATTTGCGGTACAGACGGACATATCCATGAAGGGGAATTTATCTCGTCGTTTCCGGTAGGTCGAATGGTGTTTGAGCGCCGGTCTGCGCCACTGAGTGTGATGACGATGACCACAGTTGATTCCGGGGCATGAAGTGGTTGGCGTGGTGACTGACTACGGCAAGAACGTTACGGGCTTCGAAAAGGGCGACCGTGTCGTCGCCGACCCCGGTGTCACGGTATGTGCGCTCGCATCATGTAGCGGTCCATCTGCTCATCCGTATCAGTGCGAGTCCTGCTTTTACTGCCGACGGGGACAGTCACTATTGTGCGAAAACTTCCTCGGGAAGGGTGTAAGCTCCAGCGAAACCGGCGGCTTCAGCGAGTACATTAAATTGTCCGTTTGATTTCCCCCCGAAGCCGTTGTCGAAATTTATACTCCTGCTCAGTTCAGCGAAGAAGGTATTCAAGATCAACAATCTCACCGATGAGGAGGCTACACTCATCGAGCCTGCGGCTTGTGCGATCCATGGGATGGATAAACTCGGCACCGCTGTTGGCGTGGATGCGCTCGTGATTGGCGCTGGTCCCACCGGCTTGATATTGGCACAGCTGCTGAAGCTGAATGGCGCGCATAAAGTCGTCATTGCAGCCAACAAAGGAATTAAGACGGACATTGCGCGTCAGCTGGAGGCAGGGGATGACTATATCGAGCTTGATCGTACAAATCCCGGACCACAGTGGGAGCAGCTGAAGAAAGACAATCCGTATGGGTTTGACGTAGTGGTGCGTTTCCATTCAATCATTTCTGCGTCACATAGTGCTGATGCGGCGTATGTGCTACTTGCGATTGTTGCGCAGGTTGAAGCGACGGGATCGGAGAAGATCGCAAACGATGCGATAAACTACGTTCGACGCGGAGGGACGCTCATGATCTACGGTGTCTACAACAACGCTGCACTTGTCCACTATCCGCCGTCGAAAATTTTTGGTGATGAGATCCAGGTACGCCCCTAGTGCTATTGGTGACGTGTGAGAACTCGCTGACAGACCCGTGGACGGAATGGCACCGTTGAATGCACGACGTGGCAGATCATTGGCTCGTTTGCGCAGACACACTGTTTCCCTCGGGCAGTTGCGTACCTTGACAGCGGCAAGATTCGGGTGAAGGGCATGGTGAGTCCCCATACAAACCACTCGTAAATGCATGTCAAGCGGCCACTACGCACACTTGTGATACCCTATCACGCTTCTGATATGGTTGCTGACTCTATGTGTCATTCTTTTGCGATTTTCAGGTCACGGATGTCTACTCCATCGCGGACTACCAAAAGGCGTTGGACAAGATGAATAGCCGGAGCGCGCTCAAGATAGCGGTCAAGCCAGAATGATAGGGTCGCGGCGAGAATTTCGATATCGCAAGTAACCCAGTGTATATACTGTACCGTACTCTGCCAAATGGAGGCATGACCATTGCACCGCAAGGCGCGTATAGATTCATTTTCGAGTATGGTGTGCTGGCGTGCGTGGTTGCTATGACTGGAAGGACGAGAGGACCGGGAGATGAGCTAATTGCCGGGGTGATGATACTCGGGTGAGCGCCACTCTGTGCTATCAGATTCGACGAGGCGCATGTTGCCATCTCCGAATCTGGAGCTATCTCGCTTGCACCCCCAAAGGGAGGGCTGATTGGTCCCCCTCAGCACTGATCTGGACATTCGAGTTCGACCCTGGCCAATGATTTACAAATGGACAACGGGTGCCCTGTTTTCTGTGCAGTGTGCATGTGGGATTATGGAATGGGGGCTGGATGCTGGCACAGTACGGCATCTGATAGCCGCAGGCCCGCATTGCGACCTCGGAGAAGTAAGTACGGACGGACGCGGTCGTTGCTGCTGTGGGGCTGTGCGTTGCGAACAGCAGGTCGTTTGTGCCTGCAAGACGAGTCGATTCGTCCGCGACGGGCTGAAGCAAGGGCCAAGGCGCGGGCTGGACCGCCAGGGCGCGGAGGCGGGCGTGCGCCGGGTGGCTGCATGCGATCGG